CCATCTCCGCAGCTACAACCCTACAACTATTGTTTCTCACCTAGATAGCAGAGTCCTAGACTGGGAGAGTGGCTAGGGACTTTTTGGTCCCGGCTCAAAAGTCACCTTTCGGAACAGCTTTCTGAACCACTTACAGTAACCTTCCTGATCCTCATCTCCCCCATAGCAAGTTGTCCGGGGGTTTTTCCTTACAGTATTTGTTGTTATCTGATATTATCTTGTTCCTTTGTCATTTTTTGTCTGTATGTCCCCTTCAGAATAGAGCAAGGAACTTGTCTGTGTTGTATACTGTGCATGTTTATTGTCTGGAACAAGTCAATTGCTGATACAGAGGATGCTCAAAAATATTTGTTGAGTGAACAGCACATATACTGGAAAACAAATATTCATCTGGGATCTTGAGAGAAAACTTTCTGATGTGGTAGGTCACCTTGGTTCAGTACCCAGGGGTCCTAGGGGAAGCCGGCGAGGAACAGACACACAGTGTTGAGCCTAGTAAATCTGAACAGTGAGGCTTGGTGCCTCCTGAGGACACAACTCATTTCTTTACCCAAAAGAAAATGAAATTTTCATCAGGGTTTGTATTTAATTACAGAGCTCTGATGACTGACAGTTAGATGTGTTTGTTTTAACTGGGGAAGATTAGATAGTGGAGAACTCTGGATATCAAGCCAGAATGGGCTGACACTGAGGGAAGAGAAGGTGAGTAATGCGGAGGCCACACAGGATTGACAGAAGTATCAAAAACGAATTGTCAGTGCTTTTTGAATTATGGTAAAGAGAGTAGAGTTAGGGAGCCGGAGGGACTCTAGATATCTGGGGGAGGAAGAGGGAACTACTAAAAAGGGCAAAGGGAGGTGATATATAATCCAATTCAGTCAAATTCGGTTTAATTACCTGGCATCAGGTGCTGTCCCTGGTGATGGCAACCCAGAGGAATGAGACATAGGAGGGAATGTCTGCTCTTTGGGGGCTTACAGTGTCTAGCAAGGAAGACAGATGAATGATGACTTCTAATGCAGTATTATTGTAGGTTTGATAGGAGATAGATCTCTTTAGGAGTTGCTGGTCAGCCAGTCCCTGATTTCACATGGTGGTCCTCAGCTTTACTTTTATAGAGACCTGATCTCAATCCACCAGTAAGTGCCTAATCTCCTAAAAAGTGGCCCATACTAACCACGCTCATAAGCCAAAATACCAGTTTAGTAATTTACAGTGAGGAAAGCTACGTGAATAGCCCAAGTTTTAATAAGAAGATTACTTGGTGAGCATGTAGAAGAATAAAGGGAAGTAATTGAGTGATGTAAATGTCAAATGGTATCAGGCTTTGGTTGCCTGATGCTGCTTCTCCATACCAGCACTGTAATTGGAATGAGAGCAAGCCAGTCACATCTGCTGGTCAGGACGTCATGCCTCCCTTGTGCTTGCTGAACGTGGCCAGATCTTGCTTGATGACCCGCGTTTTCTTTACACCTGCATTCCTACTGGCTTCTTTAGTTATGTTACCACCGTTTAGTAGTAAATTATTCTATCTGCTTCTTTGGGAAATCATCTCTTACCATTATATGTTGATAAATATCAGTTAAACCCTTAAGTCTGGAAGATACTTAGGTACAGTCTGTGGTTAAAATGGGAGATATATACAAGAATAATGGCAACATAGATAAGGAACCATGAGGACCAACAATTAGCTAACAGCTAACCTGTTAGCAAGGATGAGCAGTGTAAATCATCATGCGCTGAATATTCTAGGAATGTGAATTGATACAACCAGTTTGAAAATAGTTCAACATTACCTAGCGAAGTTGAGTATTACTATACGCTTTCCCTAGCAATTCCCATTCCTAGGTTTCAATAACTTGGAGAAACTCTTGCACATGTATACCAGGAAATAGGTAACAAGATTGTTTATAGCAGAAAAACAGGGAAAGAGTGAGTTCAGTCAAGTGTTCAGTTATACAATGAAATACTATACAAAAATGAAAATGTAAGAGGTACAGCTCTAAGCATGGTCTCAAAAAAAAATGGAGCAAGTCGCTAAAAGATAATATGCTGTAAGAGTCCATTTGTATAAAGTTCAAAAAAAAAAGAACAAACCTAAACCTGTTAAGGATGTGTACATGTAATGTAAAGCTGTAGGGGAAAGCAAGAGAATGGTTAATTCCAAATGCAGTCCAGTAGCTGCTTCGTTGGGGGAAGGAGATGCAGCTGGAAAGGGGAACATGTGAGTCCTTCTAATGTTCTCTTTCTGAAGCTGGACACTGTGTTTGTGGGTATTTATTTTATTATTCTTTTTTTATTTATTTATTTTTTATATTTTATTATTCTTTCAGCCATACTATAAACATGCTTTGTGTGACAGAGTTTACTCTGAGATAAAGAGCAATGTGTTGGAGTAAGCTCTTCATCATTCCAAGGACTATTGTGTTCCAAACCTATAGAATCTGGGTGACACAACATTGCCTTCGCCTCTAACATTATCTTGTCCATTATAGTGCCGTAGTAGTAGGATGACTGTTGAATTTATGGCCTATACTGGAACACTTTTGAAAGTAAAGGGAACAGATACACAAAATAATTAGTTGGTTTTTTTTTTTTTTATATTTATTGAGGGGCACCTGGGTGGCTCAGTGGGTTAAAGCCTCTGCCTTCGGCTCAGGTCATGGTCCCAGGGTCCTGGGATCGAGCCCCACGAGCCCCACATCGGGCTCTCTGCTCAGCAGGGAGCCTGCTTCCTCCTCTCTCTCTCTGCCTGCCTCTCTGCCTACTTGTGATCTCTGTCAAATAAATGAATAAAATCTTTAAAAAAAATATTTATTGACTAAGAGATTGGCTTTATTATATACTGTAAGCCTCAAAAATAAATTCTGTTGAACCACAGTAAAAACTTTTTTATAATTGTCTAAGCATTAAAAAACAGTATATGCTAAATAATTACTCTTGGTATGTGCTCATATACTTTTATCAATTTCATACCCTTACCTGTCTCAAATACCATGTCATTGGTATTTTTATGAAGGGACTATTTTTTCCAAATGTTCCTAATTTTTCTTTTTCTTTTTTTTTTTTTTAAGATTTTATTTATTTATTTGTCAGAGAGAGAGAGAGAGAGAATGAGAGAGCGCACACACAAGCAGGCAGAGTGGCAGGCAGAAGCAGAGAGAGAAGCAGGATCCCTGCTGAGCAAGGAGCCCGATGTGGGACTCGATCCCAGTACCCTGGGATCACGACCTGAGCCAAGGGCAGCGGCTTAACTGATTGAGCCACCCAGGCGTCCCCCTAATTTTTCTTTTTACCCCCCAAATTGCCTGCCAGTTTCCTTAAAACTGCATTTGATGGTTAATATATTTGAAAGTCCTTATACCTTCTATTAAATCTTCTCTGCAGAGTGTATTTTTTTTTAAAGATTTTATTTATTTGTTTGACAGAGAGAGACCATGAGAGAGAGAGAGAACATAAGCAGTGAGAGTGGGAGAGGGAGAAGTAGGCTTCCCACAGAGCGGGGAGTCCGACGCGGGGCTCCATCCCAGGACCCTGGGATCATGATCAAAGGCAGATGCTTAATGACTGAGCCACTCAGGTGCCCAGAGTGTATTATTTTTAACTGAGAAAGATATACCCTGAAGATACCTCCTAAGCTTAGTATCTTAAGTTGGAAGTATCAAGTGGACATTTACCAAACTTAGTAATAACAACAATGATAATAATTTGATTAAAAAAAAAATGAAAAAATCCAGGGTAATTGCTAAACCAGATGAGATGCCAAGTAGAACAGGTGGAAGCCAGACCTGTCTCGGGCAGTTACACAAAATGCCTGCAGTTTAACGTCTGCATCAGTATAGTTCTGTTAATTTGCTTGTTATTGGACCCAGGTGGCTGCTAGTCAGGTCAGGAGCTGACCCCTGCGGTGAACCTTCCTTTCTTCTTAGGGGATGAAAACATGTAAAAGGATCCGTAAACTTACTGGTTTGAGGAGGAAAATATATTTGTTTAAATATTAAGTTGGGAAAACTTGGGAGAAAGGAGTAGTAAAAGAAATATATCCAGACTTTGAAGTACTGGGTATTTTGTAGCCAAGAAAAATTGAGCCAAATCACAGTCTAAGGATTATTCCTTGTTCACATAGGAACATTTTATGAAACAAATGATCCATATTTACAGCTAAACTTACAGAAATACTTTATATTTACTTTGCACATTTTATGGGATTTATTCAAACTATCTTTCGTAGGAAAAATTCTGCTGTACCTGGAAAAAGGCTGCTTGTTGAGCTTTACCTCATTTAGGAAAGATTCACACGGTGAAGAAATGACAAAGGTCCTTTCCTATAATGAGACCCTCGTGACCACCCTTGACAGTCAGTGGGTGACATATCCCAGCATGGTTTGGAGTTTTTTATAGAAACATTTTCAAAAAGCTGCATTTTTTCCTTTAAAAGCACCTTTCCAAAAAAAATTTTAGAACAAAACCCATGTTTTTGTTTTTGTTTCGTTTTTTTGTTTTTGTTTTTGTTTTTTTCTAGTGGCAACTGGCCACTCCTTACTGGGGGAGTGTGTTAATATCCCCCCTTATTGAGTCAGAAGATAGTGTTCTGTACAATTTAAAGTAAAACAAATGTGTCTTAAACATAATGTGCTTAAGAAAAGTACTCTGGTAGCAATAATTTGAAAGTCACTGATGGGAAAAATTTTATTTTGGCACACATGAGTTCTTTCCTCCTAAAACTTAGTTATGAGAAATTCTAAATTCTACCAAATGGATGTTTTATAGATTTGAATTTTATATTCCCTCCTCCTCCTATTTTTCCCAGTTGATTTTGTTTTTCAGCAACAAAAAATAAAAGGTAAGGATATTGAATGATCCATAGACAAGGGTAGTGTGTAATAGATGGCCAAAGAATATACAACAGCTGGAAATTACATTTCACTCAACCTAAATGTAGATCGAAGTAGGTGGAGATGACTTAATATTTGAAATGTGTATGTTCTTTCTCTCTATAGCTTTAAGGAAAAGTGGAAATCACTCCTGACTATACTGCATAGCAAAAATTTAGTGATTTCCTATACTGCAAGTCATGGCACTACCATTCCGGAAGGACTTAGAAAAGTACAAGGATCTAGATGAAGATGAGCTCCTTGGGAATCTATCAGAAACAGAACTGAAACAACTGGAGACTGTTCTGGATGACCTTGATCCTGAGGTAGGTGGTAATGAGATAACTTCAGACCCTTTGAAACTAAATAACTTCCTTTGAGCAGTTATCTTTCTCATGACTTTTCTCTGGCACTCTCCGCCCCCACCATTCTCTCTTTATCCAGATGAACTTTTTCCCTCTTCTCAGTTCCCCCACTTCTGCCCCCTCAGCTAAACTGACATGCCTGTTCTGAACTACTTTCACCAGCACCCTTATTCTCAAGTTTATGAAGTCGGTCCTGTAAGAAATTTTTTCTCTGGTGCCTAGATGGGTCTGTTGGTTGAGTCTGCCTTCTCCTCAGGTCATGACCCCTGGGTCCTCGGATCAAGCCCCACATCAGCTCCCTGCTCAGTGGGGAATCTTCTCCTCTCTCCTCCTGCTCTTGTGCTCTCTCTTGCTCTCTCTCTTTCTCCCTCTCAAATAATGTCTTAAAAAAAAAAAAAAAAGAAAAAATTTTTTCTCTCTGGGCAGGGAGGAACATTTTTGAAGCAGATGATTAGCTCTTTGATGTCTGCCAACCCCTGTGCCTCTTCAGAGCTTCTGTACTATGATGGCCCTGTGTAGAGTGTCTCTCGAAGGTTCTTTGTGACCTTAAATCTAACTGTACCTTTCTGAAACATGCTGACCAAATTGAGTAAGTTTCTAGCCCTTAGTAGACTAGATCTAAGTACACAGCAATATTGCAATCTATGTGGAGCAGATCTGAATATATGTATAAATGTTTTAACTTGCATAGTGGGTGTTATTCATCTTATAAGTTACACGGGGCTAAGATAGAGCCCCTTGACTTCTGAACTGTTATTCCCTGGTAGGTACGTGGGGAGGGGGGTAGTCATTGAAGGCAGAGCCCAAAGGTTATGGCTGCTTAACTTGTTTGCTAGGCTTCTTTTTACTACATGTTTCTTTATGTTGAGACATTGATTTTTAGTGCCTTTTAAGAATGAGGCAGAGGTTGTTTTATAAAATTGTTCTTGTTATTACAACACATTTCCTGCTGGCATGTGTTTGAATTTTTATTGAGAATTAACTCTTTTTCTCAGCATTACTTGAGCACTTCAGTAATGTGTCTATGCAGATCAAAACCCTTAACCATAATTGTTATCACAAGGAAAAGTTTGTGGTACTCCTGAGTCTGGGGGATAACTCAGGATAACAGTACTGTTTTGATCATGTTACAGCAATATCTTCTATAGGCAGTTCACCCTGTTAGACCTGTTGGAATCAAGTGATTGTACAACTGGCAGAGTGTTAAGTGCTCACCTAGCCCAGTGTTTCTTAACCTTGACACTATTGACATTTGGGGGCTTGAATTATTCTTTGTTATGGCGGTTATCCTGTGTCTTTAAGTTATCCTGTATTCTGATCTCTACTCATTACATGCCAATAGCACAGTCTCCTGCTAAAAAATGGGCCTGGGACTTTGTTTTAATTAGCTGGGGTAAGATTACAGACATGGAGAAATAGTTTAATTCTTAGTTTCCAAGAGCAGGAAGCACACAGGGCCGCCCGGGAAAGCACCTGGATTGGTCAGGAAGCAGAAGCAGCAAGGGGCCCAGAACCTTTCTTATGGTTTCCAAGGGAAGGAATGGGTGGGACATGGTTGGCAAGTTTGAGCAAGTTTAGTATTGGATAATTTGAGTAATTTCAGTGGGCTTTGGGCCAGAGGAGTAGTCTCCAGTTGTCTAGTTAACTGGTTCTGGATGATTCAGGGTGTGTCTGCAGGGGATATTGGCTTGGTGTGAGAGAAAGAAAGGACTTGGTTGGGGTTTGAGCTCTGGTTTGGTTAGTTTTCATATGGAAAGCACACTGTTGGGTAGGGGCAGGGAGAGTTGTTTGCTATCCCTAGGAATTAGGTAGCCCAAGGAGGGGTAGTCTTTCTAACATTAGCAAGGCCCCCAGAGGCAAAGAACATGAAATCCAAAAAATAAAAAACGTGATTAATACTTCCTCTCCTTACTTCTGACAACCAAAAATCCTCTCCGTAGTTCTGACAACCAAAAATATTTCTGGATATTGGCAGTTGTCCCCTGTGGGAGCACCTTGGTTGAGAAACACTGGGTTAGCTCTTGCCCTCTGTTTTACAGATGGAAAACAAAAGTTGGGTGACTTGCCTCAATTACTGCAGTTAGAGAAAGAACTGAGACCAGATCCCTCATTGCCTCATTGCTCCTGGCAAAGTCTAGTGGTCCTTCTGTTCAGCTGCAGTGAGGCCCCTGTTAATGCGTGCTCTATGCTATACGTGTGAAAAAGCCCATGGTTTATATTTTGTTTGCAAAACTGTGGCCTGCTCTTATATGGGGAGGCTTGAGTTCTAACTTTTAGATGTATTTTTCCAGCTCCCCAACCCCAGTTGCAACTCCCCCAACCTCAGATACTATTAGTTGAAACTAGAAGAACAATGATGTTTATTGACAACATGCCACGTGTTGGGTAAAATTTGGGGGAAGAGTGCCAGTGAAAGATGAAGTAAGAAAAGAGAACAAGGGTAGTAGCAGCTACTCCAGGCAGAGAAACCCCTCTGGAACTTACAAAGTCTCAGAAGATACGGAAGAGAAGAGTGGACAGAGGTTGTATATGGTTCCTTGTTATGTTTTGGAGGGCCACTTTATTTTCCTTATGCTGCATTCAGTATATTTACTTGCCAATTTACTGCATTTTCTCAAAACACCCATTTCTAAAGACAGCCAGCTAGCCAGCCTAGGCAAAAGCTTTTTTTTTTTTTTTTTCTCATTTCCAAGGCTTGGAATATATAATTACAACAAAATTCTATGGGGAGAAACCTGTACTTCTTAGTGGCAGTCATTTTGATGAGATCTTTACCTGTTTCTTGAGTAATTATTATCTATTAACTTGACTAAAGTATACTTCCAATAAAGCATGGTTGCTGGGTTTATAGCCTACAAAGCCAGTTACCTGTCATTTATTTTATGTTCAGAGACTGTATTTAAGGAGCCATGATTCCAGCTGACGTATCACTCAAAACTTCCATGTTTTGCATGGGCTTGAGCATACCTGGGAATAGTGCAACTCCCTCACTACCACAGTGAATAGTGCAACTCCCTTACTATCACAGTGAAAGAGCAGTATGCATTATTGACTGGGATGGAGAGTTTTGATTAATTTGCCTTAATGAGCATTTTTCTTTAAAAGTATTCTCAGGGGCTCCGGGGTGGCTCAGTCAGTTGAGCATCTGCCTTTGGCTCAGGTCATGATCTTGAGGTCCTGGGATGGAGCCCTGCATCAGACTCCTTGCTCAGTGGGTAGTCTGCTTCTCTATCTCCCCCTCCCCCTGTTTGTGCTCTCTCTTTCTTTCTAAAAAATAAAATCTTAAAAAAAAAAAGTATTCTCAAGTCTTTATTGAGTAAATATTTGGGGAGCAACTAATAAATTCTGGCACTATGCTAGGCTTAGGAATATAAGAGTAAGCAAAACAAATGTGGTCTTTGCCCTCATGATGCAGGCTGGGAGGAATGGGAGGGGGTCGGCATTAATCGAATAATCATGCCATATTAATATAAGAGCATATAATGGTAGGTCAGGAAAAGCTTCCTTTGGAGAAATGGAGCTGCAGTCTTAAAAATGAGTAGTAAGGGGTGCCTAGGTGGCTCAATTAAGTGTCTGCCTTTGACTCATGTCATGATCCCCTGGTTCTGGGATCAAGCCCCAAGTCAGGCATCCTGCTCAGCAGGGAGTGTGCTTGTCTCTCTCACTCAGTCTCTCCCTCTTGCTGATGTTCTTGCTCTCTCTCAAATGAATAAATAAAAAAATCTTTTTCAAAAATGAGTAGCAAAAAATGGTGGACAGAGCTTTCTAGAGAAGGCTTCTGGTAGAAGGAAGTATGTTACAAGCACAGGGGAGGAACAAGGGCCAGAGTGGCTAGAATGGGGAGAGTATGTGAGGTGAGGCTAGAGAAACATCATGGAGTGTGAGAGTGAGGTATGAAGAGTATCAGACAACTGATCTGGGGAGACCATTTGAGAAGCTAAGGTAATATTCCATGCCAGCTTGATCATAGCTTGGATCAAAATAATGGTGTTGGAGATAGAGGAAGGTAAACAGATGAATAAGCTTTTTAGGAAGTAAATGGTAGAACTTGATGGTTCATTGGGAGTGGATTCTTCAAGTGTAGCTCCCTTTTTCAAAGTTGATAGGTAGAAATCTTGTTTCTTTATTTATGTTCCCATATACAATTTTGTGTTACAAAAACGTTTTTAGTGTAGGGTTAGGAACAGACCTTCTTTGTGTTTCATATTTATAGGTGAGCTTTCTGTGTAATGCCTGCCGTTAGAGGAGAACACAAAGGTGGATTTTATGAAAATTACTATGGATCTCAGCAAATGGCCATAATTGAAGTGCTATATTTTCTAGTTATAAAATGTACATTCCCTATTATTATCTATGTAAGATCTCCCTTTATAATGAAAATTATAACATCCATGAGATTCAGCATTATTGCCAACTTTGGGATATGTGTTACAAAAGATGGTGGCCCTTTTGTGTGACTTCTCAGGCTGCCTTCCATTTCCAAAGCAAAGGAATATCTTGGAATAGTGAGACAAAGCCATATTACCACTTTTGCCTTTCACTAAGCATAAGGATGGAGCTCATGTTGTCTAATCACTGCTTGTTATTCCTGGACTTAGTAAAAATTCAGAAAATTTTCTTGTAAGAGACAACTTTAGTCTATCATCTCCCCCACCTTCCCCACTCTGAGTCCCTCCATGCACTTAAAAAGACGGTACCCACAGGGAAACCCGGGGATGTATCTCCTGCTATGACTACCGAGTTGTGCCTTGGTGCATGAGTAGCAGTGGCAGTGGTTGCTGCAAATACATCCTAGTACTGACGTGTACATACATGCATGAAGAAGTTGAACCTTTCACATTGTGTTTAGACACAAACAAGTGAACATTAATGTCCTGATAGCTTACTATACAACATACATGGTTTTATATGAAGAAGTCTTTACTGTGAAATAGTAATCTATGAAGGAATACGATGTATATATCATTTAAAATTCTTGTGTAATAGAATTATTTTCCATATATGCATATATGCTGAGCAGTTATTAGTCATTAAGAAAACTTTTTTTTATTACCATCTAGGACATTTAAAAAATAAAGGGTGTTTCCTTCTAGTAGAGTACTTCTGAAGAAAATGTGTATGTGCTTATTTTCATAACGTGATTGAATTCTACCTAATGAAGAAAAACTTTGTGTGAGACACTTTTACATTGCTACCCTAAAATCCTCTAACGAGGTGTTTAATGTCTGTATCACATTCCAATCTGTAATTCTTTCTTAAATGGGTAATCTGTGGAAGCATATAGTATTGGCATTCTTGGTGGTCATAATGGCTGATTCGTTCTCTTTGGCAGAATGCCCTTCTGCCTGCAGGGTTCCGGCAGAAGAACCAGACGTCAAAGTCTGCCACAGGGCCATTTGATAGAGAACACCTCCTTTCATACCTGGAGAAGGAAGCATTGGAGCATAAGGACAGGGAAGACTATGTGCCCTACACTGGAGAAAAGAAAGGTAAACACAGAACTTGGAAGTCATTTTTTTGGTAGCACTTGATTTTTCTTTTTATAGGTAGGGTGAGTCTGGAGAAATAATATTTGTAGAGATGCCTCATTAGTAGCTTTAAAGACAGGACGCTGTTGACTGTTGACTTAAAAACTTGTTAGGTAATTTGGCAGTTCATTTGCATTTTTCATCAACTTGGCCAATAAGTTCCTTTTTAATGATTTGTAAGTGAGGTTTTATAATACAGTGATTTTATATAGCACTCTAGTTCTCTACTGTAACAAATTTAAAAGTGTGCTGAGGTAAAATTTTAAATTCAGTAGTGTATTTCAGAATGCAAATGACGACAAAACACTTCTCTGTTCCAACTCCTCTCTCTAAGGATATGTGCCATCAAATAATTCAGGCCATTTTCTTTTTCTTTTCTTTCTTTTTTTTTTTTTTTAAAGATTTTATTTATTTATTTGACAGTAGAGATCACAAGTAGGCTGAGAGGCAGGCAGAGACAGGAAGGGAAGCAGGCTCCCTGCTAAGCAGAGAGCCCGATGCAGGGCTCGATCCCAGGACCCTGAGATCAAAACCTGAGCCGAAGGCAGAGGCTTTAACTCACTGAGCCACCCAGGTGCCCCAGGCCATATTTTCAAAGACCCTTTTTTTTGTTCCCGCAGAACTTTATTTATTTATTTGACAGAGATCACAAGTAGGCAGAGAGGCAGGCACAAAGAGAGAGAGGAGGAAGCAGGCTCCCCACCGAGCAGAGAGCCCGATGCAGGACTCGATCCCAGGACCCTGAGATCATGACCTGAGCCGAAGGCAGAGGCTTAACCCACTGAGCCACTCAGACACCCTCAAAGACCCTTTTTAAAGGATATCCTACAGCCTTCCTTAGTAATTCATAGCTATAGTTGTCATCGCTTCATAACCATTACTTTCAGGAAAGTTTTCTAGTCTAGGTCCCTCCCACTGCAGAGTTAGACCTTAGGCAAACCGACTGGAGACCAAGTACAGATATATATCTTAAAATTCTCTATATAACACAATGTGAAGTAGGTTAAGTTTCTCCACTTTCAATACAGATTGGCTTAAGAAGCCACAGTGTACTTGTACTCTCTTGTTGAGGGTGTGGAACATTAGGGAATGATGGCAGCAGTTGCAAGATCTGAAGATGAGCTCTTCCAGGGACTGTTTTTACATCTGAATCCTTAGTAGTCCAGACCAGAAGAAGGATAAGAGCATAGTGCTTTAGCGTTTAACTTAGGAAGGAAGCCCTTCTCAAGAATTTGTCTGTTACATGGCTACCCTTTAGTGGCAAGGGAGGCTGGAAAATTCATTTTAGCATTCTGGTCTCTGTAATAGCAGAAGGCTAGCAAATGATTTTTGAGTAGGTAATTCATGAGGTCTGCATTAAGCCTTTTTTTTTTTTTTAAATATATATATTTTTAATTTATTTGACAGAGAGAGATCACAAGTAGACAGGCAGGCAGAGAGAGAGAGAGAGGGAAGCAGGCTCCCTGCCAAGCAGAGAGCCCGATGCGGGACTCGATCCCAGGACCCTGAGATCATGACCTGAGCCGAAGGCAGTGGCTTAACCCACTGAGCCACTCAGGCGCCCCTGCATTAAGCCTTTTAAAAAATTACCTGTCATCCCCAGTTCCTCTGCTCTTTCACTAGACCCCACTTCCCCCTTATCTGTAATTCAGCACACTACTGTAGCTATTTCTATTAGAGTTCCCCAGAGAAATAGAAGCAGAACCAGAAGCCTGTATTGAGGAGAATATGAGATTTATTGTAAGGAATTGGCTTGTGTGATTATGGAGGCTTATTAAATCTGAAATCTATAGGATAGGCCAGCAGGGTGGAGACCTAGGGAAGAGTTGCAGTTCAAGTCCAAAGGTAGTCTGCCAGCACAATTCCTTCTTCTCAGAGGAGATCAGTCTTTGTTCTGTTAAGGTCTTCAGCTGATTGGATGAGGCCCACCACATATGACTTTACTCAAAGTCCACTGATTCAAATGTCAGTCTCATCTAAAATACACCTTCCCAGAAACACCCAGAATAATATTTGACCAATTATCTGGGCACCATGCCCAACCACATTGGCTCATAAACTTAACCATGGTACTACTGTTTAAGATGGGAGTGTTTTGTCCCTCAGATGTTTAGGGCCAGAAAAAAGGATTAAGAACCAATTAATGCATAGTTTGAAGTATGGAGAATCACAGAGATGAGTAAAAGCATCAGTTCTTTGTGTTTTTTACAGAAACAACTATTGGTTATGTTTTCATCTGAACAGCCATACCTACAATAACACAGTATTTATAGCTTCAGTCCTGTTTATATAGGAAAACTTAGTTTTATGAGAATAAATATTGATTACCTTTAACTATTATGTGTGTTTCAAGTAAACTCAAGGGGTATAGTTATGGAGATAGAAGCAGAGGAAAAGATGTGAGAAAAATAGATGTCAGGAAAAAATGTGGAATTTGAGGACAAGAAGAGAAAATAAGAGATGTGAAAATGCTGAGTTTGTCCTGAGCTGACCCAGGAAGCTTTCCAGTATGTTCTTGTTTCATAATCTCCAGTTGCCTAGGGAAAGATCTTGGAGGATTAGAGGATGTAGGAAAGAAGGTAGAGAAGAGTTGTGGAAAACAAAAAAATACCAGAGGGGAGAAATGATAGAGGTGAGGAATATGAGTGACAAGTCAAAAAACACTATCTTCAACTGGAGTGTAATAACTTTTGTTTCCTTTTTTAACTTTTTAAAATTTTATCTTATTAGGTTTTGGATGGGTATGAAATAAACAGAAATAGTTGGGTTAAAAAGCAGGTAATTTTGCATTCATAATCCGTGGGGGGGGTGGTTGGGGGTTTTTTGTTTGTTTGTTTTTTAAGATTTTTGAGAGAGAGAGAGAGAGAGAAAGTGCATGTGTCCTCATGCATGTACGTACTCATACATGGGAGAAGGAGAATCTCAAGCAGACTCCCTGCTGGCTCAGAATCTGAAGCAGAGCTCAATCTCATGACCCCGATATCATGCCCTGAGCCAAACTTAAGAGACACCTAACCAACTGAGCCACCCAGGTGCCCCTTAGTGTTTTCTTTTTATAATACATTGAGTATTTGGGGGGCTTCTGGGGGGCTTATTCTTTTAGGGTCTGACTTCAGCTCGTGTCATGACCTCAGGGTCCTGGGATCAAGTCCTGTGTTGGGCTCTGTGTGCAGCAAGGAGTCTGCTTGTCCCTCTCTCCCTACCCCCACTCACGCTTGCTCACTCATTCTCTGTCTCAAATAAATACATAAAATCTTTTAAAAAAAATACATTCAGTATTTTTACTGTTTCTTCTAGCTGTGTATGTTTGTTAAATACTGTTTATGGGCAGCTATGATCAGTGGCTAAGACTGGCATTTTTAAAAATAATGAACTTTATTTTGAAGCATAACACTCTTAAAAGCAAATGCACAAATCAGAAGGATATAGCTCAGTGGATTATATAGTGAGCATCGACATAGCCGTGTAGTCACTACCTGGCTTCTTTCTACTCACTTTTCCCTTCTGAGAGGTAATCATCATCTGAGCTTCTAATACAGTAAATTAGTTCTGCCTATTTTGAAAATTTCTGTAAAAGGAACCATACAGTCTGAGTATCTGCTTTGCCTACTACTATCAGCAGTCCCACTGATGGAAGCAAATGCCACCACCCTAGGGTCAAGCCATAAAAGCCTTACAGTGCCTTAGACCCCAAGAGGCACAAACTCGTCTTCAGCAGTTGGGAAACTTTGGTTGTAGAGCTCTACTTTGAACTAGAGCTCAAAGCCAGCTCTCATGTTCTCAAATCCAGCCTCGACTCCAGCCTTCAGTCAGTTAGCTTTGCTTATCCTTTGTCACTAATATGTCTTCCTTTCTTTGGGTCTCATCCTCAAGCTCTTGATCACATTCTGGAAGATTCTGACAATAATTCACCCACAGCTTATTAGCATACCTCCCAGTTGAGCTAAATGTGAATCCCCTCCTTAGCTCTGAAAATCCCAAAGCTTGTTTTTTTGTTTTGTTTTTTTTTTCAGTGCCTCTCCTATGACTTTTTACCCTGAACACCTTCATTGAGCCCCACATTTCTTAACTTACTACATAGGAGATAGACTTTCAGATTGAGGATGCATTCTAGGCAGTAGAGGTTCTCCTAGTTCTTTGTAAAAAAGTTGGCAAACCTGTTAAGAAACAAAAGCATGCACTTTTTTGGTGTACTTGGACTCGTTAGAACTTATAAGATGTGCCATTAGTCTCTCAATTTTTTTTTTTTTTTGTCACACTAGCATGACATGTTGCAGAGTTGAGTACCAGTAACAGGTGCCAGGGCGTTTTAGCAAAGTCACTCAGCTCCAGGTTGTATGCCAAAATCACATAGTGATCTCACATTGTAAATTATTGTCACATGGTTAACACTGTCAAAAAAATTATTACTCAGTTTTTTATATTTTATTTTTTAAGTAGGCTCCACACCTAGCATGGAATCCAGTGTGGGGCTTGAACTCATGACTCTGAGATCAAAACCTGAGCTGAGATCAAGAGTCTGATGCTTAACTGCCTGAGCTACCCAAGAGTCCCATCAGGTTTTTTTTTTTTTTAAGCCAAGAATTGGGAACCACTAAAATGATTATCCAGTCATTAAAGTTGACTACTTTTTCATACTCTGAGATTAATTAAATGATTAATTATACTTGTTGTTCACCTAAAAGACACACCTTCTTTGTGGAGCTAAAATTACACAGGATTGGTATGACAGAATGGAATCCATAAAACTGAAAATTGGACATTTTGGGATTTTTTTTCTTTTGGCCATGAACAAAAACTATACTCACACCAAATTTTGTCTTTCTAGACCACCTCAAGATGTTTTAAAAAAGACATGACAGACTAAGGACGCTTGAGAGTTGGATTTATAGATAAACAAGTAATTGCATTTTGTGATTTGTGAAATGATTATGATTGTCTATTTTACAGAATTTAAAGTG